GGAACAGAGATTGGTTTTGCAGATTGTATTGTTTTTGCCAGTACTGTCACCAGCTTCATATTTCTCAGACTTCGCCAAAAAGCAATTTCCATTTTAAAAAGACAAAGCCTTTTGCGTTTGAATTGGCCTGAACATCTGGATTCTATTTGTATTTCTCTTAGCACACAGCCAGAAATGCAGAGAAAAGAATTTGGTTGGATCGGAGGTGGGATGGTTTCAGGAATGATATTAAAATCTGTGGCTGGCTTGAAGGAAAAGAGAAGGAGCAACAGCGAGTGATGTTACAGTCAAAAGGTATAGGAGGAAAACCTTGAGAAATGAGCTGAGAAGGAACTTTGTGTCTGGGACTTATGGATTTGTGAAGGCCTGCAGGTGCAAAGGAAATATTTTACTTTCCACCTACAGTGGAACAAGTCTCTCACATCATTTATAAACACTTCTGACTTGAGGTGCTGTGAAACAAGACCCATGAGTTGAGACTGCTCGCTCTGCTTGTTCCACAGCACCAGCTCCTGGCACATCCTGCAGCCACCAGCTCCAGAGGATTTGACTGTCACACCATCACAGACAAAAAACGTGTTCCCAGCTGCAAGGCAGATGCTTGAAAGGCAGAAAACCCACCCCAATTCCCGAGCACAGCTCAGCCCCGGGGGCACAGCTGATGCTGGTGGCTCCCGATCCTTGGTGAGGTCTCTTGGTGGGAATCCCACCTGCAGAAGAACCATTCTTCCCATTTCCCAGATCCTCTGGGAGCTGCCCAGCCTCAGCCCCTGCCCCGTGCTCCCCTGGCCGCTGGCAGTGGCACAGGCGAGCTGTCCCTGAGCTGTCCCTTACCTGGGGCTCCTCTCGGCCGCTGCTGTCGGGGCTCCCAGCGGGTGCGAGTCGAGGACAGTGCGGCTTTGGTGCAGCCACATCTGCTTTTTGCTGCTTCCCCCAGCCCAGCCTTCGGCAGGCTTCAGGTTACAGCTTCCCAGGGCTTTCTTAAAGTGCTCTGCTCCCATTTTCTGCCCCTGCCACCCTCACCCTGAATTGCATTATTTTTTCAACCCTTTTTTTCCCCAAAAACAAATCCCCGTGCTAAGGGCAGCCTGGTGGGTAAAGCACAGGTAGGAAAGGCAAGCACTCCCTGCCCTTATTGAGCAAGTCTTTTATGCCAGCAGTTCTGCCATAGGTCACATCAGGGAATTCCTTCTGTCTCAGAGGTATGGTTAATGCAGTAATGTTTAATGGATTTATAGATTTATGTCCAAGATTTAATGGAGAGACTGTAGAAACAGGATTCTGTTGTTTGAGGCAGTTAAGATGCTGGGAACTGCTTGTATCCAGTGATAGTTAACGAGAAATCATTAACTGGCTTAAAGTTTTTGGCTGAAAAAGGAAGAGGCTAGAAAGCCAAGGACTTGTTAAAAAAGAAGATGAATTAATAGAATCTTGTAGAAGCTTTCAGAATGATAAATGATATGGAGAAAGGAAAGGGACAGAGGAGTTCCATTATTACTTTCCACAGAAGGCTCAAGGGGAGCACCCACCTGTGCACATTTAAATCGAGTATTTTTAAACAAGTATCAAATTGTAAAACTCATTATAACTGAATATTGCAGAAGATGAAAAATAGATTTGAGGGTAAAAAAACCCAACCCAACCCAAATTAGTAGAAGAAAGGTCCCCTGAAGGCTACCAATGGCCAGCTGGGCAATACAGAGCTTTCCTTGTCCTTTGCCATTCTTTTCTTTTCCTCAGCCATGGATAGTGGAAGGACCAGGATACTCGGCTAACTGGACACATAGCTAAACAGACCCAGCTGTTTTTCTGTTTGGAAATGCTGGAAAGGCAGTGATGTCAGGGCCCCCAGTCTGGGACATCTCTTTGGGCTTTCTGCCAGCAGGTAAGGAGGAGCTCCTCCTGTGTGAGCTCATCCAGTCCCTCAGAAAAGGGGAAAGGATGTGCCCAGGGATGCATTAGCTGCTGGTTTTGCAAGCCAGGAAAGCAGATCAGGTGTGCCCTGTGATTAGTCAGTGCTTTAAAGGCACCCCCTCCTAACAGGGGTAGCAGCTCTGCTTTCAGCTGCTTCTCAGCTTGCTCTGTGTGAAATCGTCTGCAGAGAAAAGATTGTACTTGTTAGTCTTCTATTCCCTGCCCAAGAATGGGTGTGTTGGCTGTAGAGATGTTTTCTGGTGGTTTTCATGTCTTTGTGATACCTTGTTTGTGGTGTTAAAATGCCCTTTATGGAGGGACCAGTGGAGAAGTTTTTATGTCTTGTCTCTGTCTTCAAATGAAAATTCCATCTGTTTAAATACAGGTTTGGTTTTAAAACCATTTAAATCAGAGTGGTAGTTTCATAGAATGTTTTTACAGACCAAAGCCAGCTTTATTCCTGTAGGTGAAGGGTATCCCTGAAATGGTGCATTAGACTCGTCTAACAAAATCAGTTTTGTTAAATCAATACAAGCATTTTCCAGTTGTTGTGGTTTGGTTTCAGCATGCTCTCTGACAGGGTTCACCTCTGCTGTGGAAGCAGTGGTGATATGAATTTGCTCTAGGTAAGGAAAAAAGTACATCTAATATTAAAGAAACTGGGACTTATTTGATATTCTGAGCCAGTGGTGCAGATGGATAGAGCAGACACCCTGTGCTAGTCATGTCTTTTCAGAATACAGCTCCGTCAAAATGAAAGCTTTAGCAATGCAAAGTGGAAACTCCTGAGCAGAAACATTAATATTACTTTGCATTTTACAAACTGCCTCTTCTGGAAAGTCAGTGGAGTGAAAAAGAGTCTTATGGTTGGTGTAACTGATAATTTGTTGAGCGAAGCACAGTCATGGAGGGCTGCTGTACTGTCAAATAAGATGAAATTAATAGTTTGACAAGAATAGCTTGGAGGAGGAGTGATGGCAGCAAGACAGAAAATAGGAAATAAGAACCAAGCTGTTCAGGAAACTGAGAACAAGGGAAAAAACTTTATAAAAGCGGGAGCTGGAGGGCAGAGGCGTGAAAAGGAAAAGTTGAACTTCAAATTTTGCAGTGGTTGCAGTGCAACAGGGTGGCATTTAGGGAGGTTACAGTAGCCAAAGAAGACTTACCTAAGGCATGGAATGGTATTTCTGAATGCTAGGAATGAATCTGTATAAATAAATAAGCTAAAATGTTCCCTGTGGGCTAGAGCTGTGCCCTCTAGTAAGAAAGGCTGACTTCTTGTGGGTTTACTTGTTAAAATTGCAGGTCTCTGTAATTACAGCCTCTTTCTGAAGGGTTTGTGTCATTACATTGGTTAGAGGAGTAGGCATTATCTTCGGCCATTCTTCCCCTTTTAGACTGGAAGAAATGCATAATTGGAGGTTGGAGCCAGGACTTTTCATTCCCCAAAGTTGCCTGCATCCCTGAAATTCATGGTTAGTGAGTCAGTCCTGCTCTTATGCCAGCAGATGGTGCAGACTATTCAGGGACGGAGGCTCCCAGAAGCATTCTGCTCCTTCCTTTGAGGGAAGGCAGCCTTCCCAAGCAGGGAAAACACTGCCAGAAGGATGGCCCTTGGGCTCCCTAACTGTTGCTCTGCAAGAACAGAGCACTGTCCTTTCTACCCAGCAGCTGAGGGGGTTTGGAAGCAGAAATTACTATGGACAGGAGTTGTTTTGTACAGAAGTACTCATGAGTTAGCCCTGTATTTTTAAGTGGTAGGATGGCTTGGTTGGGTGGAGGGACCCCAAAATTCCTTGATAGAATCATAATAAAATGGTTTGGTTTGGAAGGAACCTTAAAGATCATCTTGTTCCAACCCCACCTTCGACTATCCCGGGTTGCTCTAAGCCTGTCCAAGCTGTCCTTGGACGTTTCCAGGGATGGAGCAGCCACAGCTTCTCTGGACAATCTGTGCCAGGGCCCCATGGGCTTTTAGGGCACTGCTGCTTTGGAACAAGGACCCATCTCATGAAGTGTGATGGGCTCTGCCCATCTCAGACCAAAGGACAGTTATAACAAGACATTGTCCTTTGCCAAAACAAAAGCAGTGACGTTCAGCTACAGGTGTCAAAATCTTCCCTCCTTTCCCTGGAAGCCACAGATACTGTGGAGCCAGGAGTGTCCCAGTGAAGAACAAATCACAGATAACAGATGCCAGATCAGCATCTTTCACCCTCTGAGTATCTGTCAGGTTTTACTCAGGAGAAAGGTTAAGGGCTCTTACAGCCTTGCTTATCCTTGTATTGCTGCTCACAGGCCAAATGCCCTCCTGACCCTGTGCCACTGAGCTCATGCCCTAATTCAGGGAATTCTGCCATCTCACAAAGCCAGCTCTGACCCAGAGAGCATCCATCCCCTGCACACTTGGCAGGGGAGATGCCCAAAACTTGTTTGACTTGGTCCTTGGAGAGTCTTTACAGATTTGACATTTCACCTCACAGCCTCTGTTGTTCCCTGGGACAAGGTGTAGCAAAAAGCAGATCCTCTGCCAGAGCCCCTCCTCTCTTTTCTTCTGACCTGCCCAGAATTTTTTCCTCCCAATCTTTGCAATTACTAAATTTCTGTGCCATTTTCCTTTCTCTGTTGGGTCCTTCAATGCAACACTTTCAGCAATTTTATTCTGCTTTATTATTTATTATTCTGCCAACATAAAAATTACTAAAAAACACTTTATAAAATATTCCTTGAAAAATCTAGCATTACCCAGCCTCTAGAGGAAGGGCTGGAGAGAAGGATCTAAAGGGAGGGGTTTCCTACTGCAAAGCCTCCTACATCAGATCCAAATAGCCAAGGAGTGGGAAAAGGGAATCTTTGACAAGAACCCATGCCTGGAATTGTCTGTGACTCATCCTAGAGAAGACAACTGGTTTCTAGTCCAGTTGCTCTGGAGGTCAATGTCTAGGTGGGCACAGATGGTTTTCAGAGGAACACTGAGGGATTCGTGTTCCCAAGAACTGCGGAAGGAAGAGCCACATTAATACATCCCTGGCTGATGTCCAAGCTGCCAGATGCTAATGATGATTCCAGGCTACAGGGGACTCTTATAAGATCTTAATGAAGACTCTAATAACAGTCTGGGGACAAGAAAGTCTCCCTTCCATGACTGAGAGCCCTGGAAGGGAAATCCAGGCAGAACAAGCTTTACAGGTTCAACGGAGGGGTGCCTCAGCCTGGAGAACCTCATCAGGTCTGGAATGGGCTATTCCAGGGCTGGTCTCTAGGGATCTGTAAAGGAAAACAGCAAGGAATTGCCCCCTGTGGCCTCAGAGGGGCAGGAGGTCTCTCTCAGCAGGTGCAGAGGGTCAGGCAGGAGTCCCAGAACACTCAGGCTCTGCCCTCTGTTATTTGGGCACGTGGTGCTCGTTGGCATCTGTGGCTTCGCGCGAGTCCCAAGGCTCTCGGATCTGGGGAGCAGCATCTGGGCTGGGGTTCCGGACACTGCCAATGAAAAGTGGGATCCCTGTTTCATCCTCAAAGATGATGAAGACAAAGGGCCTGTCGAGGGTGAAGGTAGAGAACGAGCGCGACACCGCGATACTGGTGGCAGCAGATGCTTCCACCCCATCTTCTTTAAGCTCCAGGGTGGCCTGGTGCTGTACACTGGACACAAAGAGAGGCTCCTCTGTGATCTTCTGGAGATTTGGGCTCGTGAACAGCTCCTGGAGGCCTGCAGAGAAATGAGACCAAGTTGGGGCCATGAGTTCTGAGTTTTCTCAAAGCTGTCTGAAGAAAGCAATTCTCTGATCTGTCGCTCCACGTGCTGCCCACCATGGACGACTGGAGAACTGACAGGCAACAGAAACAAAAATTCCACCTCTTTAAGAATAGTAGTGTAAGAACTTGAAGTCATCCTTTAAAAGCAGCAGCAAGTCTGGAGACTCTTTCTAGCTAGGCTAGAACACTTATACTGAGACTATTTTTTTAAGCAATTCTAAGCAAAACAAAGTGAACTCTTAAATTATTCTAATCTGGAAAGGCAGCACCTGGTGTTTGATTTCAGCTCCAGGTTTTGTGATCTGCATTTTCTCTGTTGGCAATTTCCATGTCCTAGACACTGAATTAAAGGACAAAGTAAGAGACTGAGATTGATGCACAGGAGAAGTTTGTTTTGGCTACAACAGGGAGAACTTGTAAAGACTGTGAGAAGCTGTGAGCGCTGCCTTGTCTGTAGTATCATCTAGTTGGAGCAAAACATTTGGTGCCAGGCAAGCAAGGAGTAAGGAGGAGGAGAGGAAGAAGAGCTGGGAGAGTTTGGAGCTCTGGAGCAAGCTGTGAGGTACAGCTTTAGAAACAAGGGTGGCAGCTTTTGGTGTCAGCAGCCAGACTGATCAGCTCCTCTTGTTCTGTGCAAACCCTGCTAGAGGCCTTACCCAACTGGCTGAGAACCTGGTTGAGTTCCAGCTTGTAGTCCAACTTTATTTTGGGGATCTTCACCATGGTGGGCACCTCTCTGGGGAAAAGCCTGCACAGTTCTTTGTAAGGGAAGTTCTCCAGCATGTGAGAGGTGTTCCAGGTGTTCTGGTTTGGTACGAGGACCACAAAACTCACATTACTCTTAAAAGGAAACTTGGCTACCTGGAAATAAAACCAACCAGAGAAGAATTTAGGGAAAAGGAAGGGAAGTCCAGAAAGTGATGCTTTTAATTTAGTCTTTTCCTAATTGGTCTGCAGGGCCTCTCTTGCTCTTGCATGAAAACAGCCTGGTGAGAAGGAGGGATCTGATTTCTCCAGAGGAGAATCTGTTGGAATAACAGCTTTAGATTTTAGTATTAGCCACTGGCTGGTGAAGATTGAGCACATGGCAGAGTGAAAGCCCACATTGCCCCACTCTGGAGTCTGAAAAACTCCAACAGCACATTGTCAGAGGGAATTCCTTTCCATATTTCCTCATTTATCTTTAACTCAGGGCTTTAAAACTATTAATTCCCAGTTAGTCAGAATACCTCTTTGTGGTTTTTCCTAGAGATTAAAAGTGAAGATTCAACATTCTTGCTGGGAGCAAGGACAAAGAATGATTATTAAATTTTTGTGTGCTATGCCTGTTAAAAAAAAAAAAGGTTTTTTTGGAGAGAATGCTTGCAGTTAGTAGAATACCACAGCAAGAGGAAATTCCAATGAAAATTTGCAGTGCTCCTGAGAGATCCCTACCTGAATATCCTGGGACTCCAGTGTAAACCAGCTCAGGGGGTACTCAGCAGCTCTCATCATCTCAACTGGGACCACAAACTCACTGTCAAGGTGGAATACATCTGGCCCAGTGAAGCTGGCATTAAATTTATTCCTCCAAAACCCTGTAAAAATAAAAGTTTTGAAATTAATGAAGTTAAATTTGGGTAGAAAACCAGAAACTGCTGAGCTGGCACTCCTCCTATCTTGAGTTCTCTAACAAGGCCAATAGTGACCAGGGAAGTGAAAATACAGCAAAGAGAAGTCAGTAGCAAGGCTGGAAGAGCCCTAACAGCAGGAAACTCTTATCATCCAGAAAGAAACTATGGAATAACAAAGAGAACATGGGTTAATCCTCATGCCTCAGCGTGGGAGACTACTGAAGGCTATGGAGATAAAAGAAACTATGTTTGTGCTTTGAAAAATGGGGAGTATTGCCTCTGTGCTGCAGAAGGGGAAACACTGCTCCAAGACCAAGGTAAAACGTTTGTACATTTACACTGGCAGTGTTTGGTCTGTGCACAGCCCTCAGGGAATTAAAAAAGGAAGATATGGCCGACCACTGCACTGTAGTCAGAGAGAAATCCACAGAAGCTGCCTCTGAGCTCTGTGGTGGATGTGCAGTGAGCTGCAAACCACCTGGTTCATCATTTAGGTTAGAAAAGACCTTTAAGATCACTGAGTAGATGAGCAGGGATGTGCCACTGCCTGGGATCCTGAACCAGGAGGCAAAGATACTGCAGGTCCCACCTGCTGTGTCCTGGCTCTGCTGTCAAGTAACATTTTTAGCACATGTGAAGCAGTTGGGAATCATTACTGTAAAGAAATCTAAGCAAGAGGAACAGCAGATGCACAAGAACAAGCAGATTGCCTAGCAGGAAGCGAGGAGAGGAGATGCTGTTCAGCTACAGGGCTTGCAGAAAAGTGGAGTTCTAACTATTCCCTCTTGAAAAAATAAGGAAGGCCTGTGGAGCTCACCGTGGAAATAGATGGCATTGAGCAGGAGCATCACTGTGTTTTCAGGGAGCTGCTGGAGGAAGGAGGGAATTTGCCCATGAGTGGCTTCCTTTACCCAGTTGTTTATGGCCACAAGGTCGTCCTGACTCATCCCAGAAAGGGTCATGGGCTTTGCTCCATAGAATTTCTCTGAATCCTCCAGGAACTTCTCTTTCACCTCAAACCCTGGCAGAGGGGAGGAATGATGGGAAAGGTTTGCTCAGTGTGATATGACACTCCCCAAGAGGAGGAAGTAGGGGAAATTGATGTCTCCAGTGTGATTCCATCGCTCTGTGTGACTGGGAGGTTTATCCTACACCAGTCCAGCCCCCCTGGGCCTCCTCTCACCTTTCTGCAGGTACAAACGTGACCCAAGGCTGAGGGTGGACTCTGTGAGCCTCCTGCGAAGGGTGCCCAGCATGTGGTGGAGGCAGGGCACTGACTCCAGGTGCATCACCTCCAGCAAATGCTTCTCTGTCTGATTTGCTGCTCCTAAAAATCAAACTCCTGTTAGGTCTCATGCCCACAAAGTGGAAAACAGGGATGTTACTCTGGCTGCCTCTTGTTAGAAACACACCGTGCCTCACAGAAGAGGCTGGAGAAATCTGAGAGTCGGAGCCTCAGAGGGCAGCTTCAATTGTAATCATGCCTAATTAAAGCTGCAGGAGCAAGGATAAGTGGAAAGGACTGTATTTCATTTGCATCTTGCACACTGACTGCTCGTGCCTCTGGGAGAGGAAACAGGGAAGGGCAGGGAATGGTGGTTTTGCCACTAAGAATTACCCAGTGCCAGGTGAGACAAGGCGAGGGCGATGCTGAGGGGGGACAGGACCACGTTGGCTCTGTTGGACTCCAGCTGCACCTCTCTCAGGAGATCAATGCTGAATCTCATCAAGCCATCTGCCAGCCTCTGGCTCTTCTTCCAAGTCATCTTACAGCTTTTATCTCCAGCCTCTCCTTCCTCTTCAGAAGAGGCATTTTCCCCAGGTGATTTCTTCCCACGACAGCCCCCAGCCTCAGCTACGGCTTCATCTTCTGAGTTCCAATCATCCATTGTGTCTGGCAGGGTGGTGGTGAATGCTGACATGGGTCCATGGTTCTCCTGGAAGCTGTCATAAGAAAATTCTACCAGCTTTTCCTTTGGCTGGGTTGGGATGGCTTCCACCAAATGCAACTGTGCAATTCCAGCGCTTTTCACATCCTGGGGAGAAACAAGGATAGCACTGGGAAAGCAAAAGCACGGTGACACCCCCATGGGCTTTCACTGCTGAATGGGCTGAGAAAACTGGACAGAGCTGGACTCCTCTGCTCTGGTGGTGGTTTTGCTTCAGTTTCCCTTTAACCCCGAGGATAATGATTTGAGGGAATGGCTTTGGAAAAGAGAAGGTTTTGTATCCTGTGGATACAAATGGACGCAGTGAGGGTCTGGCAGTGGTTCCTCCTCCATTTGTCTCAGGAAAGCTTGAGGGCAAGACCCACCAGCAGCACAGCATTTGTGCCACATGTGAAGGCACACATCCTGTGCCTTCAGCATTTACAGATCCATCGTCCTCATTCTTGATTTCGTCTCCTCCCCTCACACATTTTAGCAGTGCCCACCTGCCTCACACTGGTCAGCCCCTTCTCCTGTCACAGCCCTGATTGTTTGGCTCAAGTCCTTCTCCAGGCATCTGTGTTTTCTTGACCTGTGTGTTCTATTCCACCCTTCTTCTCTCTAAATTTCCTCATTTTACACTCTTCTAAGCTTTAACACTGCCACTACTCCTCACATTTGTATGGTCTGAAACATCCCAGCTGAGTGTGTTGGATCAGCTACGGATCTTTCTCCCTGTCATCCTCACAGCTGGTGGCTTCCCTCACCTTTCCTTTTCACTCAGAAATTAAATCATCCACCTGCCAACCCCTGCACACACCAGCACTGATGTTAACTCCATACTCTGCTCAGTTATTTAGGGTGGAGCTTCCAACTAGGAGGAGCACAGCATTGGCAGCAGCTGGGAAAGATGAACTTTCTCATGGCGCTGCCACTGCCTGGGCTCATCCTTGCTCAGGAAAAACTGCAAATCCCACAGCACAACTTCAGTTCCCTTGGGTGGAACTCGTCAGTGCTTACCCTCAGCTTCCCGTCTTTGTCCAGGAAGAGACGCTGCTGGTCACTGGCATGTGCCAGCTGTGGGGAAAAAAATCAACAAAGAAACAAAGTCAGGTCCCTCTGAATTTCCAGAGTTTGTCTTCCCTGCTCCCACTGCAATCCTAGCAGTCCCCACAAGGCAGCGGCACAGGCAGGATTTTGGGATGCAGACCCAGGGGCAGTGGGGTCTGACATGGGGAGGTAGAAGTGAGGAGCCGGGAGACACTGCAAACCCTGGATTTGTTTAGAAAGGGGTCAGGCTAGTCTGGTACAAAATAATGGATCCTTTTGAGAGTGAGCAGTGGAGTTTTGCAATCTCAGTTCTGACAGGGATCCAGATTTAAAAGGGGGGAGGAGGAAAAACCTGCTTTTCAAAAAGCTCCTGTTAACTCCTCCAGGTCACGGTCACTAAATACAGTTGAGGTCAAGTTCCAAAAGAAAAGTTCCTGCAGAAATATGAATAATAAGAACATCCACAACTATTTTAGCTGGGTAAAAGATCAGAAACCTTGCTGGTGAACCCCCCAGCAGTGTCCTCCACCTATCTGCCTTCCAGGGCTTCTCTGGGTGGTATTTGCCCCACGGTCTGGCTCAGGGAGCCACCACATTTCCCTTGCTCTTTGCTGAGGTAGCAACTTACCCTTGGGAGGCTGTGCAGAGCAGCCAGGCAGAGCAGCCCCCAGAGGAACCCCATTTTCCTGGAACAGAAGGACCAGCTGAGAGAGGAGATATTTCCAGCAGCGAGCTCAGCCTATTCAGGTCTACAGGGAGAAAATTATCAACCTGGCCAAACAGGTTGGCACAGGAGCTTGTGGAAAGCAATAGGAGATGAACAATGCTGCGAGGAAACAACACAGGGCTCCTGGGTCTGGTGCCAAGGCAGGGAAATCAGAGAGGAGCAGGGCCCCGCAGCAGAGCTGCAGCTACAGCCAGGCTCCGCTTGGATCCTGCCTGGCTGACCCTGCTGCCCTGGTTTCTCTGGATTGCAAATGGTATTTCCCTAATCAGTGCTGCACACACTGTGCCTCTGGAAAGAGACAAGAGCCTTTCTGCTCCTTTCCCATGGAAACCACCGAGATACAGGCACAGCATCCTCAGCTGTGCCCCAGGCTCTTGGGAGAAGGGCTACTGACCTGCAGGTGCTTAGTGAGTGCTGTCTGGGAGGGGATTTGCAGGTAGAAGTGCAATACCAGAGCAGTTTCCCAGCATTATGTTCTGGGAGGAGGAGTCCTCCCCTTCCCAGCACTCGTGTTCCCCCTTTGCTGGCAAACCCTGCCTCTCCCACCTCCGTGCTCCAGTTCCAGCGTGGGACAGGGAGCAGGGCTCTCAGGGTCACGGACAAAACCCCACCCATTCCCTGGCCAACGCTTTACCCAGCCGTTTTTCCCTTTCTGACAGAAATAAAATACCTTCTCTTTCCCATAAAACCTCCACGCCAAAGCCCACCCCCCTGCATAGCGTCCACATTTAATTCCTGGGGCTGCTTTCCACTCTCCAAGCAGTCCTTACTTCACCCAGAACTGCTGGGCTGAGATCCCACTGGCAGAAGACAACTTGAGGCCATTTCACTCCTTCCCTTCCTTCACCCCAAATCTTGCAGTCACATACAACCCCAAACACCCCCTCTCCTCCCTGGTGGTGCCCATCCTTTAACCCTCTGCCAAATTCACCCCTCTCTCCCAGAGGCCCATTGAAGGAGCCCTCATTTCTATCAAATCCTTTGATTTGTCCCTTACCTGAGGTTGTTCATGTCCACGTTGGAGCTGGCACCTGCTTTAGCCTGTCCAGAGCTCTGCATGGGGCACACACAGCTCTGGTCCAGCCCTCCCAGCAGCGACCTTCGGCACCACCCCCTGTTTGAAAATTTGGCAGGCAAATATTGACCTACAGCATCCGGTTAAACATCTGTTTGGGGGAGAATTATGAATTTGTGGTGCACTTGGAGATGGGGACACACTTTTGGGCTGCTGAACCTTCAAGACAACCTTAACACCGAATTTACCAGATCCAAAACTCCCAGCAGCAGCAGCAATTTGCAAGTGGCTCCACTTTGCATACACTCCCCGTGCTAGGAATATTCTCTTTTATTCATAAACTGAATAAACAGTCCCAGCTGCTGCTGCTGCACCTTGTGAGGCACTGGTTTGACAGAGGCCAGGTGTCCAAGGTGCCTTGGCTGCACACAGCAGGCTCTGATGGCCAGGCTGGGCTGAGCCCAGAGCAGCTGCTCCCTCCCTTGGGGCACAGCACGCCCCAGAGCTCTCCCAGGGCAGCTGGTCCCAGTGTCCAGGACATGCACACACTGCTTGGGCCACTGAGAAAAAGTCTAGGGGACGGGCAGGACTCCAGCAGCCCTGCCCTGGGTGGATTTGTGTTGCATGCAGAAGTGGTGGTGATCCTTCCAGCCTCTGCCCGTGTCCTCAGTGGGAGAGGAGGCACTGAGGACCAGCAGGGAGCACCAACAGCATCTTCCACTCATCCATTCCTTGCAGCAACTCTTGGTTCCCAAGCTCACCCCAGAGTGTGGGTGACAGATCTGAGCTCTGCAACCACATTTGGGATGTGCTGCTGCAACACAGGGAGCTATTTCCTCTTGGAAAGCAAATCCTGTGCAGCAAAGTCCCATTCTACATCCAGGGCTCCCCCAGAACACAAGAGGAGCCTGAAGGAGGAGGTGTCACTTTGGCTGAGCAGCAGGAGAGCTGCAGCCAGCACTCCCAGCCCCTCCAGCACAGAACTTCCACACAGACACCCGGCTCTGCAGCTCTTTCAAAGAGTTTATTAGAAGTAAATATTTACATCTATTGCAAATGATTAATAGGCAACACGGGACTGAGAGCTCCCCTTGGGTAGGGAAGGACAGCACTGGCCAACCACTCACCTCCCCAGCTGCAGCTGGGTGGAAGCCCTTCCCCTCCCCACAGCAAGCTCCTCCTCTGCCCACGGTAAGAGATTCCTGCTCCCCTGACACTGGCTCTGGCTAGGCTGAAGGATGGGTGGGAAAAGGGCTGCAACAGAAGGGAGGAAACTGCTCCTACTGGTGGGGCAAAGAGCACCCTCCGTGCCTTTGGGGTGGGAACAGACAGTGCTGTCCCAAAGGAAAGGTCAAAGACAGACCATGCTGGATTCTTGCCTCACCCTACAAGGGCAGGAGGGCACAAAACTGAGCACCTTTTTGCTGTCCTGTCTCCCCCAGGAGCCTGACCAGCATGAAGGGGAGGATTAGAAGAGGATTTAGAGGATCACTGCCAGTGCATAGCACTCATGGCATTCCTCACCCCTTACATCATCATGGGATGCTGGGGCAGGAACCAGCAGCTCTAGCCCGCTGCTCCAGAAGCCAAAATCCCCATGGAAGCATCTAGTTCTGGCCTCCTTAGAGAGCCACATTCCCACCCCACTCTGCCCCTCGGCAGCAGCCCATTCCTACAGGAACTGGCAGAGCAGATGGGGCTTGTGCCTTGGCTGGCTTCCATCCCAGTCCTTGCCCTGGAGCCAGCACGGCAGCAGAAGGGCTCTGGAGAACCTCTCCTCCTTCCATGCAGGCTCTAGCTCAGCTGGCAGAACCTGAAGTTCACAGAGCACCTCCTCTGGGCTTTGAGCACTGGCCATGGCAGGAGGAGATGCGGTCTGAAGGCAGCAGCTCCCAGGCCCAGCTCCTGCCATCTCAGTGGGGCTGTGCAGTGGTTCAGGAGAGGAAGGGAAGGGGAAGTGCAGGTGGCAGTAGCTAAACTGTTGTGTTTTGTCAAGGGGCACCTCTTACCCCTAAACTGAAGGGGGGAAGGTACTTGTGGTCCCTATTACTGTGGAGGGCAGCTCACAGTCCCCCAGGGATCAGGCACACACGGTAAGGAAAGCTCCAGGCCTCTCTGCAGGGGTGACAGTGACCTACAACGCCCAATATCTCTCCCAGCAGCAGCGGAGGTTTCTCAGTTATGGCTTTTTTTTTCTTTTTCAAGATACAGAAAGAGGTTAGAGACGCAACAAGTACACCTCCCCCTGCATCCTCTGCTCAGAAACATCTGACTCTGCCTCCTCCAAAAGCCACGCTGCTGGCTTCCAGCTCCAGCACAGCACTGCAGGACAGCCTCAGCTGCCAGGCCGGGGCCACTACGCCAGGAGCCGGATGATGCCATTGTCCGAGCCCAGCAGGAGGTGGCACTTTGTGGGCAGCACTGCCAGGCTGGTCAATGTACCCCGAAAGTTCTCTGAGCTCAGCTTGGTCGTGCTGGTGGGCAGGGCTGAGGACTCCAGCATGGAGTAGACCCCGATCTTGTTGGCCACAGTGCCGGTGACCACTTCGTTACCATAGAGGTCGAACGCGTGGATGGGCTCGGAGGCAGATTTGTAGTGGTGCAAAGGTTTCTGCTCCAGCTCCTTCCAGACAGTCAGGGAATGATCTGAAGAGGAGCTGATCAGCATGTTGCCCTCTGCAGCCTGCAGGAGAGGAAAGGCCAGTGAACCCACATTTCTGTGGAAACTCACAATCTGGTGCTGCACATGGGAGCAGCAGGTGGCTGCCAGTGATCCAATGGTCACAGTGCAATCCCCCAGGACAGTCCAAGCCATTTCCAAGCAGCTGATGGTACTGAGCATGTTACCAGGGCCTTGGGTGGACCCTGCAAGCTAAAGGATGCTCTGGTAGCTGGAAATCTCCTCCAAGAGATGGGCTGGGCCTCTTCTCAACAGCACCCTGACACCCAACACACCTCATTCATCATCTGTTACTACTGCAGTGGGTACAGGGATTACCATGCAGTCTCCCTCTCCACTAAATCACCTGCCAAACTGTTTTCCTTCTCAGGAGAAGGAACTGGGAGCCTCTCTCATGGTTGAAAATACTGCTGTGGGTAGGAGAAGCCTGGAGCTGCTTATTAGCAGAGCTAGTGAGAGAGTAAACAACCAACACTGCTGAACTTTGTTTAACCCACATTTGGGTCGAGGACACTGGAGACCCAGCACTGCTCCCTGGGGTGGGTAAATATAGACAAGAGTTATTCATTAGAGCAACACTCTCCCAGGGAAGCCGAGAGCCCCGTGGAGAAAGCAACACATTTGTTCCTTCACAGGAGCCACAGCTCCTCCCTGCCCCTGCTGCAGACCTGCCTGGCAGGGATTGAAACCCAGGAGGGCTGAACTCTGGCAGCATGAGTTGGACCAAGAACAGCTGGAAGCAGCACTAACCACGGGGCAGGAGAGCTTGGGAAGCCTCCTAGGGACACTGCAGGGGATGGAACAAGGATGGAGCACACAAGCCCTGAAGGAAGGATTCTCCACACGGCCTCAGAGCATCAATGAGGCCCCACGCTGATCCCAGCTGAGCCTCTCACCTTGATCTGCAGGATGTCTCCCTCATGGGCAGGCCAGCCCCGCATGATGAGCCCTGTCCTGGTGTCCAGCAGCACGATGAAGCCGGAGGAGAAGCCGGCCATGACGCTGCGGCCGCTTGGGCTCACGGCCAGGCAGCGGATGAGCCCCGCGCTCACGCCGCTGGCCAGGCGGAACTCGTGCTGCAAGAGAGACAGTCCAGCTGGGGGATGAAGCTCAGGGGAGCTGGCATTTAAGGGACAAGGTGGTTTCCATGAAGCCATCGCAGCTGGGATCTGGGCTTTGGGCTAGCTGTGATGCCGTCATTAAGCACAAGGATGGAGGAAGGTGACTCACAGAGCGGCACATCCCTACCTGTACTCCTGGCTTCCTGTGGTCAATGAACCTCAGCACAGAGTCTGCACTGGCCACAGAGATGCTGTGATAGGGAGGTGGCATGGTGGTCACAGCTGTGATGGGGACTTTGCTGTCTAACTCATCAAAAGTCCGCAGAAGTTTGCCTGTGAAAAGACGACAGATATTACGGCAGGGTGAGTGACACAGCAGATCTCCAGTTCTGTGCTGGTTTTTAACAGGAACCATCCAACCTCAGCTGAGCAGTTCACTCCAGCTCCTCGCCCTTTCCCTTCTTACCCGTGAACTGGTCCCAGATGTGCACGGTGCCGTCACAGCTCACCACGTGCTGCGGTGCCTCCAGCTGGCTCACGTAGAACACCGACTTCTTGTGCTCGGCGTAGGTGAAGCGCGCTGGCACCTCGCTGGTGCCGTCCCCGTAGTTGTACAGCGGCCAAAGCCGCACCGTCTTGTCCTTGCTGCCACTCAGGAAGAAATCCTCGCTGCCCAGCGGTGCCACGCACTTGATGGCCCCGGAATGCCCCGAGAAACTCTGCAGCTTGATCTGGTGGAAGTGGAAGCAGGGGTCGTGCTGGCTCACCCCGATCTCGTACTGCCAGTAGGCCAGCCAGTTCCCACAGAGCATGTGGGTGCTGCGGGGCAGGTCGTGCTTCAGGGCGTTCTCCTCGCTGGACGAGCTGGGAACGAATCCATCGGTGCCAGCACCGAGGCGCAGCAAGCCGAGACCCTCCCGCTGTGTGTCCACGGGCACCTGGATGCGGTTCCCCACCAGGACGCTCCCAAAAGTGCCGGAGTGAGTGTCCTCCTGGGGGCTGGAGAAGGGCTCAGCCCCTCGAAGGTCTTGGTCTGAGCCCACCACGCTCGGTGTTTGTTCCAGGCTGATGACCTGCAGGCTCTGGGGGTTCACATTCTCCAGGTGGAGGCTGGCCAGCTTCTCAACCAGCGAGTAGTTGGGCACAACCGTCCGGATAACGTCACCTGAGGAGACAGAGACAACGTGGCTGCAAGGGAAGCAACGTCCCCAACATCATCATCATCATCATCATCATCATCATCTCCCTCCATGCACAGGGATGTGGACACAGCATCCCCCAAGTCAGCCACATCTGCTCCCAGCTGAAGCAGCGTGAAGTCTGGTGGGCTCCCAAGCCAAAAATCAGCCCAGGCCACGCTGTAGAAGCTGTGGGTTTCCCCCAGCAGCCCTGTGAGCTGTGATTGCCCTGGAGTTCAGGCCTAGCACACACGCCCAGAGCACAGAGCTCCCTCACAGATCCCTGGAGCTGGTGGCCAGGGCGTACCCAGCAAGCAGGAGAAGGGGATGTAGGTGATGTAGGCCATCTCGGGGTTGAACACCTTCTGCAACTCCACCAGCACGGATGGATCCAGGGCCAGCAGCTTCCCATCCGAAAGGGGCACCTCCATCACTGGCACCTCACAGCTGCTCAGCGACTCTGCTGTCAACCCCTGGACAAGAGAAACAAGATCAGACAAATCACACAAACACAAAAATGTGGAATGCCCACCACATTCCCACATCTGGGGAAGTGCAGGACCTCTCCCACACCACTGACCTGGTCCTGCAGCTCCTGCAGCAGCGAGAATGCCCCAAAGAAGGTTCTCACTGTGTCACTCAGGTGCTGCTGCACCATCTCCTGCCCAATCCGCAAGCAGATCAAGGCAATGAGGCTGATTGTCTTCACACACAGGACAACACGGGCCTGGGCTCCACTGGGGAAACTAAAGAGGACATCCATGACCAGCCTATCCTCCACATACCGCTTTTTTCCATCCTCTGCCTCATGCTTCCTGCCTTTTCTGTGTTTATCTGAATGCCTTCAGCAGTGTACCAGTGCAAGGAGATGCACATCAGAGCAGAAACACCCTCCAGCCCCAGAAGCATTAAGGCCCCCACCACAAAACCATTCCCAAGTCCCTGATTTTGTGCCAATCCTGCAGCACTTACCCGACAGCCGGAGAAGTGAGGAAGCCCAGCACCGGGAGCAGCACCTCCTGACTGATCTTGGGGAGGATGTCCATCAGTGTGGTGTCGGAGAGACACACCACGATCTTCTGTGTCAGTGTCACAGCAGCCAGGAGCCCGGCCTCCTTCCGACTGTTCAGCCGGACACCGCTGGAGCTACCGCCGGGTGCAACCTGTGAAAGGGACTCCTTCAGTGCCAGGGCCACCACCTCCCCAGCAGGACACAGCAAAGGTGACCCTGGGGTCACCTGAGCTCAGCCTCAAACCCAGCATAGCACTGCTGGTCACAGCTCCTGGAAGAGGAACCTGAGCACCAAATCAAAACAGCAAAACATGTCTGGTACTCAAGGGATGAGTCCAAAAACTGACAGGCACCTATCAGCACAGATAAGCCTGGAGAAAATGGGGAATGACACCTCTAAGCTCACAGATTTCCTCTGCAGAGTACAACATCCCCACAAGCAAGACCAACAACCCCACACTGGCCACCCTGGACACCCCAGAACATCATCTGCCAGTACAGAGAGAGGGGAAACTCATATACACATGATTTAAAAGCAAAAATCAGTGTCTTCATCCCACAGTCTGCAGAAGAACAATCCTTGCATGAAATATCCAAGCACAAATTATGGGCAAACCTGCTGCTGACTTCTAGAAATCCAGCTGCTAAGAATTTCATGAGGCAGAACTGCACATCCTTTTTCTGCTGACAATGTACTGCTGCTGTTATGGCAGTGCCAAAGAGTTAATAACATCAGCAGCAACACTGAAATATTTCTTTCTAGATTGTCCTATTTCCTAACTCCTAGACAAATCAAACACCCAAGAAAAGAGAGCCAGTAACAAAACCCACAGACAATTCCCAGTTCCTGCTATATTTCTTGTACACCTGCCATCTTCCAGCTCATCACAGAGGCTCTTCCTCTCACAAAATAGCCACCCTGCCAAATCCTGCAAGAAGGATTGACTTTATCCTATTTGTGACCTGCAAGTTCCATTGCTCCAGTATCAGGTTGCCAAATGCTGTTTCACAGGGGTATTAATCCCCTCCGTGCCCCCAAGCAATGAGCTTAGGAAAGCAAAGCAGAACAGCTGGAGCTATGATTGCAACTGGGTGGAGAATGATTTTTGCTGAAAAATGGGATTTTTTCCCTTGAAAAATCTCCCCTTCAACACTGGAAAAACTGACAATGCCTTTTTGTTTTCTTTAAATGAACAGCTGTGGCCTCTTTTCCTCTATGTTTAAATTATCAGAAAGCTACTGAAGTTTTCCATTTAAACAAGAATCCATAACCAAAGTGTTTACAACCACTGAAGAGGGAACAAAATGAAAAACAAGCCTGTTTAAAACATTCAAAACCTTTTTCTTTTTAATGAAAAATTAAGTTTTTCAACCAGCTGCATTTTACATTTCCTTCTTGCTATGAACTTCAAGTTGAAAAGTTGGTGAGCCTTGCCAGCGCTTTTTGTTCAGTTGAAAACTCGTTGGTCTCCCCCCAGTTCACCCCTATCTACCCACACAGACCTCTGTGAACTCACCCCAGCAGTCTCACAGCAGCACAAACTGCTCCTCCTGCCTGTTATCACAATCCCACCCTTGTGCCAGCTCTGTCTGGGCACAGAAAAGCAGAAGAAATGTTTTTTCTCTGCTTTCACAAGGTCTGACAGGGAAAGAGGGGTATGAACACAGCCATGAGCTTGTGAAAGGGTGAAAGTGCCTCTCCTGCCCTTCTCAGCCAACACAGCCAGAGCTGCTCAGCCCACACTGGCCCAGGCAGAGCCCAGCCAAGCTCAGTTTTTATGCAAGAGGCTCCTGGTAAGGCTGTACTTTTTTTTTTTACATCTTCCCTCTGTGCCTGGACACAGCTCTTGCCCCAACAGAGAGGAGAAAAAGGCAATACTGACCAGGTAGCTGATGTAGGGCAGGTACTGGTAGGTGAGGACAGGCTCTCCATACAGATATGCCACGTGCACGAGGCAGGCCAGCACCGGTTTGGACACCTGATCTCCCAGCACAGGCCGCTTTTGGTAGATATTCCCTGTACTCAGGGGACTGTTCTCATCGCTGCTCGGTACAAACTGCTGCCTGGTCGGGCCTGCCCAGAGAGCAACACATCATGAGCTGAAGCAGCAGCCACACCCAAGCCACCAGCAGCACCAGCAGACAGGCTGGGGGCACAGCCCACCCTGGGACCCAGGGAAGAGGCATTACCGACATAGCAGGACGTGAGCAGCCGGAGCAGGTTCCTGGCAATGAAGCGGGACGTGACGGTCGGGCCCAGCTTGGCCGAGAGCCACCTCACCATCTTACAGGCTGTGTCTGCAAAACAACAGCAGTCCCAAGGACAGTGCCCAGCATGGCACACAGTAGCTATCAACCCCTGCTGCCCCAACCCTGACATGCAGTCCTGGCCTCTTACCCTGGTTTCATCACTGTCTCCAAGCTGGGACCACAAACACCCCCAAAGCTGGACCAGCTCTGCCCAACAGCCTGGATGCTGTTCTTACCCAGCAGTATGGTCTGCTCCTTGTCAGAGAGATCTGGCAGCTCCTCTCCCTCCCCATCCTCTGGCTCGCTGCTGTCATCAGCCAGGGTGACATCCACAGAGGCCCCAGCAGCATCCACGACCACCGTCAGCTCTGCATCGACCGCCGCGTCCTCGTGCTCCTCTTCCTCATGCTCCTCTTCCTCCTCCTCGGAGTCCTCGCTCTGCTTCAGGTCCTGGCTGCTGTCCATCGACTTCAAGCTGCTCTTGTCCTTCTGGGAGTCCCCATCTGCAGGTCTGTCCTCGCCCAGGGACACCTCGCTGGCGCTGCTCTTGTCACTCAGCCGGCCGAGGCTGAGCGATTCCTGCTCCTGGGGCTGCAGGGATTCCCCGACGTAGAGGCCACTCTGGAAGTCCTCACCCTCGGGCAGGTAGGCCTGGTCGTGGAAGCTGACCCCAGAGGTGTAGTCCAGGAGGTCGAGCGCAGCAGAGCTGTGCTCCACATCCATCTTGATCTCCTCCCCAAACACACACGACACTGGGCTCTCCCCTCCGCTCTCATCGTCCTCGGCGGTGCCGAGGAAGGATTTGCTCTCCTCCCGCGAGCTCTCGATGCCCACGAGGATCTGCAGGATGTGGGGCAGCAGGTTCAGGAGGAAGGACTGCAGCCCCAGGCGCACGATCAGCTGGGCCACAAAGCAGTCTGTGTACAGGTAGAACCTGCCGTGGCGGGAGCAGGGCGTCTCGTAGGCTCCAATCAGGGGCTTCAGCAGGTATTTATTGGCATTCTTGGGGCCGAGGGATTTAGCTATGGGTTCAAAGAGGTACCACGCTGCGTAGACAGCGGTGTTTTCCTCAGACATCAGAGATAATATGAAAGGCAGAAGAATTTCCAAGCCCTCAGGAGTGATTTCAGAAAGGATTCCCTCCAGCTGCTGCCACAGCTGGAAAACAAGCTCCCGGCCTTGCCCTTCATCCTCGATCTTCTTTGCCTGATAGGTGAAAATGAACTTGTGCAGAGCTGGGAAGTACGTGGGGAAGGGGACAATGGAGCTGAAGGGGCTGAGGAGCTGTGTGGGACAGGGTGGGGGGAGGCCCTGGGAGATGGGTTTGTATTCAAACAACTGCACTGCGCCCTTGCCCAGCCTGCTCTTCAGCAGCTTCTCCACGGGCACGCTCAGCTGCAGCAGGACGTGCAGCACGTGCTGCAGCGGGGCCGGGATCTCCTTGGGATGGTAACAGCAAAGGTTCCTCACCATCAGGAACCGCTCCAACAGGGACGCGTCGGGCTTCGAAGGACGAAGCCTCGGTGCAAATATAATCTCAGCTACCAGGATGCCCAGAGCTTGCATGTCCCTCTGGAAGAGGTCTGAGAGACCCAAGGGTGGCTCTTCCCATGGCTGCTCCATCAGCTGCATCTCACTGCTTAAGCCTTTAACCAAGAAATTGTCCAATTTCTCCAGTTCCTCCAGGGCCTGGAGTGGATTGAAGCCTTCAGGAAGCGTGATCTTCATGTCGAGCTGATCCACAGCCCCTGCCTTGCTCCGACGGAGCGGTCGGACCCCCGAGGATTTGCCGTCGGTGGCGTAAGCAGGGAGGGTGGATGGCTGTGCTGGAGGCACAGCGGCACAGGGCTGGTCAGGGGCTCTCCCGGGAGCAGAAATGGAATCCAGAGCTTCCGTGCCTTGCTCCAAATCATCCTCACCAGCAATAGGCTTCTCCCCAGACCAGGTGGTTTCACTGGGAATAGCCTCCAGGACCAACCCGTTGACCACATCCGTCACCTGGCCTTGGACGTCCTCCAAAACCACAGCTTCCCGGATGTTCTGGAGCAGAGGCCGGGCAATGGCTGGAGCTTCAGCAGGAGTGTAGGCAGGTCCCACCATGCGCCTGGGATGGGGCTGGTCAAAGAGCTGCACGACCCCGTAGGTCGTCAGGTGCGTGTGGTTGTCAACCAAGTGAAGGCAGACGTTCTTCTCCTTGACTGCATCCTTCCCCAGCAGCTTGTAGCCAAAAGTGAGGTCAATCCAGTGGTGCAGGTCCTGGGACACCTCCCGGCTCTCCAGCAGCATGCGGTGAACTTCGATGAATTCCTCGTAGGAGCTGCACCATGACGGCACATCCAGGTCGGGCATGTCCGGGTGGATGGAGCGGAAGATGGAGGGGTCTGTGTAAAACTCTGGGATGCACTCGTCCGGTGTCCAGCTCTGCATGCGCTCCATGCTGGCTGGGTACTCGTTGGGCTCCCACTGGGACCTGACGTGGCAGCACAGCACTGCCTTGGGTGTCCTGCGGGCCGTGTACACGTAGTAGGTGATATCCGAGAGCACGTCCGAGATGTGATGGGGGACGTGGAGCTGCTCCCCACTCAAACCCCCTGCAACAAACGCCTGCTTGGTCATCTCATAGGTGAAGTCCAGCTGCTTGTCCCCCTTGTTGAGACGGAATTTGGATTTCCTTAGGTCCCTGAACTTGCCATTTTTGGTAGTGAAGTCCACCACCCACGGAAGAACCGGGTGGTAATTGGGGTCTCCCATTCTCCTCCCAGCCAAGCTGTTCAGATGCATAAGATAGTCGAAGTTGCTGACCTGCCCGTGCACCCACTGCAACACCAGGTCTCGGAGGTCCTTCTGGCAGGCACTGCATGTCACCTCCTGCCTTTGCATGCGGCTTTGCTCGCTCTCTCGTTCCAGACCACCCTCCAGATTCTCTTCATCCTGCCCCGGTCCCTCGTACCCTCTGAAGTTCACACGCAGCCGGCTGCACAGCTTCTCATCCACAGCCACGTCCCGAAGAGAGAAATCTCCACAAGCCAGACCCGCCTGGTGACAAGCCTTCATGGCCTGCAGCACGTGGAAGAGGAGGAAGAGGATTTTGGCGTGGCTGTTGGTGAGCTTGGCCGGGCTGAAGGTCACAATGTCGTGCAGGCAGTACTGCACGTAGGGGTAGATGATGTACAGCATGTCGGCCGACTCCAGCAGCGCCTCAGCCTGCAGCACGTTGGGGCACAAAGGCGCCCCTTTGGCCACGCTCTCCTTGGCAGGGGACGTGCCAGGCACGTTCCTGCCCACCTGGAGGACGGGGCAGCCGTAGGCTCTGTGCAGGGCAGCCCTCAGCGCGTCCAGCGCCGGCACCGTGGGCGGCGCGTCCGGGCGCCGGTAGGGCCGCGCGTACAGCCCGTGAGCCCGGCCCCACAGGTTGTGGTAGTTCTGGGTGGCCACGCTCTGCATGAAGCCGTGCAGGCTGTCCACGTTGCCGCCGCAGCGCTGCTCAGGGGGCTGTGCCCGCAGCGGGTACCCCAGCCGGGCCTTGCGCAGCCCGTGGATCTCCACCCGTGTCCAGCCCGCCGGGAGTTTCTGCACCGAGTGCTGCAGGAACGTCCTGACCTCCACCTCGCTCAGCCCCTCGGGCCGCGGGCAGGCCGCTGGCAGCACTCGGCGCTCCTTCAGGCTCTGCAGCCATTTCGCCGGCACGAAGGCGGTGACGTGGGTCCTCTCGGGGGCCAGCTGCCGGCGGTCGATGTTCAGGTCCTTCTCCACACTCTGCAGGAAGCCTTCCATGCTGGATTCTGCTGGGAGAAAGGTGGCTCAGACAGGCTAGGAGCGAGCAGAGTGGCGCAGAACCACCCTGCCCTCCCCAGCGAGAAGCAAGTCTCACTTCCCCATTGGCACCTGGGTTAAAAAAAAGCTGTTCTGAGGAGTTTGGTTGTTGTGCCTGCATGTGGGGGGGGGCTGAAAAGGGACCAGCCCTGGCTGTGAGGGACAAGATGGGATCTCTGCAGCCAGGGAGGGTAACGTGGTGGGGCTTCCACAGCCCCTGGCAGGGGGACACGATGGGGACACGATGGGGACTTGCACACCCCTCGGGAAAGGGACATGACAGGACCTCTGCGGGCCTAGGGTTGGTGGGGGGACACACAATGGAACATCCACAGCCAGGGAGAGGGACGTGATGGCACCTCCTGAGTCCCAGGCTTGAGGGACACAGCGGCACATTCACAGCCCCAAGAACAGAAAAGGAACACGATGGCATGTGGAGGGGGACATCTGCAGCCCCACGACTGGTGGTGGGGACACAGCGGTACCTCCACAGCTGGAGGGGGTACACGATGGTATCTCTGCACCGCAGCCCCCGCACTGGGCCCACAAAGGGATCTCTGCAGTCCCAGGGCCCCGGAGAGGGCCCACGGGGGCGACACAGATGATGCTCACAGCAAGGAGCACGGACCCAGCACCGAGCCACGGCCACGGCCGGCCAGGCGGCCCCGGCCGCTCAGGGCCCTCGCTACCGGCGGGGGGACGACAGAGCCGGACGACAGAGCCGGACTGAGCCCCGCGGCCCCGAGGGCCGGTCCGGGGAGCCCTCATCCCACCGTGGGGTCCCTCACCGCCCCGGCGGCCCCGCGTTACCTGGCGGCGGCGTCTCAGCCGCGGCGGGCGGCGGCGGGGGCGGCCCCGGCCATGTTGGTCAGGTGACGGCGGTCACATGCGGCCGCCGCGCCGCCATGTGCGCGGGGGGGGCCGGGCCGCGCTCCCCACCGGGCCCCCGCGGGGCCGGGCCCGGGCTCCCTCCAGCGGCGGCGGGGCGGGGGGGCCGCGGCGGGTGCGCAAGGCCGGGCCGCGGGACCGGGGCTGGGCATGGGCAGCGGCGGGGCGGGCCGCGGCCGCGGGGCGTGACGTCACCGTGACGTCAGAGGCGCCCCGGGCTGTCAGCCGGAGCCGGGCGAGCCGCGCTGACGAGGCAGCCGGTCTTAAAGGGGTCCCCACCCGCCGCGGGCGGACCCCGCCGGCGGCAGGTGAGTGCCCGGGGGAGCCGCAGCGGGGCGGCGGGGCCAGTGCAGCCCCGCCGCCCCGGGACCCTGCTGTCCTCTGCCCCGCAAGGCACCGCACGCTACGGGAGCTGCCCGGCCCCGGTACCCGTGAGCTGAGACGGGTCCTCACGCCGCTGCCCGGGCGGTGCCGGGCCTCCGGGACCAGCGGGTGCGGCGGTACCCACGGCGCAGACGGTCACGACAGCCCCGGGCGGCCGGACCGCGCGCGGCCCCTTTAAGGGCACCAGGAGCTCCTGCCGGGCAGCGCCGCATGGCGCGGCGGCGCGTGGGAGTCACGTGGGTGGGACGTGGCGGCCGCCGATTGGCCCCCCGGCCCTGGCCCGCCGCAATCAGCTGTTACTGGGACGAAGGGCAGGAAAGGGCCTTAAAGGGGCGCCGTAACTCAGATCCTCGCCCCGCGGGGCGGCAGCGGCAGCGCTGGCAGTACCGACGGGGCAGCGGGTGAGCGCTTCTGGTCGCGCCGGACCGGTCCTCCGCTGCCCTGCGCTCTTCCTCGCCGGCACCCGCGGCGGGCGCGGCCCCTTTAAAGAAGTTGTCCAGTCATCGCGCGGCGCTGCCAAGTCATCGGGGTCAGCCGAGTTCTCGAGGCCACGCCCCCCGCGCCCGCCCATTGGTGCGCGCGGCGAGCGCTCACTTCTGATTGGTCGAGGACTTAGAGCAACTTCTCGGAATCGGGGCTGTGTCACCAGCCCCGGCACAGGGAGGCGCCGCCCGAGGGCGGTCGGGGGCGGCCGGACCGTGCCCACGGCAGCGCCGCGCCCCATCTGGGGCCCGCGGAAGGGTCGAGCCCCTTCGGAGCCGCCCTGCCCCCGCCGCCCCTTCACCCGCTTGAAAATGCCAACTCACAGCACGCGCGGCATGCCGGGAGCACCGCGCCGCACTACAACTCCCGGCATGCCCCGCGGCGGGGTGGCCCCGTCCGTTCCCAAGGCGACCGCCGCCCGGCCGGGAGGGAGGCAAACGCTCTCCCGGCGGGGTGGGCGAGGCAGAGCGCTCTTCTCGCCTTCCCATTGGCTGAGCAGCGGGTCGCGCCGGGCCGCCATTGGCGGGAGCGGGCGGCAATCGCGGCGCGGGGCGGGCGCGGTGCGCGCCGGCGGTGCCGGCCGGCGATTGGCCCGGGGGCGTGGCCGGGGGGCGTGGCCGGGGGGCGGCTGCGTCATGACTCCGCCAGCTGATCCGGGACGGAGCCGGTGCTCGGCGGGGGGAGGCGGCGGCGGCGGCACCACCGGCACCGGGCACGGCCGGGGCGGCACCGGCGGGGCGGCGGCACCGGCGCTGGGCCAAGTTTGGCCCAGCCGAGCCGCGCAGGTGGGTCCGCCGGTACCGCGCTGGGACGGGCAGTAGGGGTGGCCGAGCCCCGCGCAGTGCCCTCCGTGCTCCAGGGGTTGAGGGGCCCCACCGTGCCCCGCTAGGGAAGGTCACCTTTCCCCGGGACAGGGCGGCCATGGGGGTGCGGCGCGGCGCGTCCTTCGCCGGGCTCCGCGGCGCCGCCTGGGCCGGGCGGCCTCGCCCTCGGTGTCGGTGGGGCGGGGAGGGGGGGTTGGGGCAGGGCCCGTGCGCGGCTCCAGCGCCGGGGGTTCCCGGTGGGGCGGGCGGGGCTGCGGCCCGGGCCTCCCCGCGACGAGCGGTGGCCGCCCCGGGGGTGACCTTCACTCCGGGACCGGACTGGGTAGACTTTGACCCGCGGCCGCTCCCCGCCGTGGGCACGGAGCGGAGCATCCCGGGCAGCGGAGGGCCGGGAGGGCGGCGGGGTGTCCCGGAGGGAGTGGAGGGAGCGGCTTTGCCGTGGAGCGCCGTGGGGGGAGCTGCCTCCGTTACGGAGGAGGGGGGAGTTGGTTTTACCGAGAGGAGACACACTGGGGGAGGGGGGGTGACCCGCTTATACCGGGAGAGGGGCGCCAGCTGGGGGAACAGCGTTTTTTTATTAGTGGGGTGAGCTCCCCCCGGGGCCCTTCCCAGAGCCGCTGGGGTCTGTCGGTGCTGAGAAGGGCAGGGTGGCAACCCTGTTACCGACAGGCCCCCCCACTCCAATCCCCATCGGCCCCCGGTGCTGGCGGGGCCCGCGGTGCCGGCGGGGCCGGCGGCTCCAGCGGCGGGTGCTGATTCACGGGCCGGCGGGGGTGGAGCAGGGCCGGGACCAGCTCGCTGGAATCCGGACCAGATGTACCCGGCACGCCAGGAATGCTCGGCATCCCCGCCGGGCCCCGCCGCCGCCGCTGCGCCCCGGCCACCGGCCCCGCACCGAAAGCCCCGCAGCCGTCGCCGCAGCACCCGCCGGGGTCCGGCCTCCTCCGCTGCCCGCCCAGGCCTGGGGCAAGCCCGGGTCCCCAGTGCCTTTGGGGTGACGCTGGTGGGAGGATGCTGTAATGGCCCACAGGGGATTTCCCATGTTTCCCGTTGCCATCTGTCCCCCATCATGCCCGGTTTCCCGGGTGGTTCCCAGAACTCGATCCCCAGCAGCCAAAGCGCTGAGTGTTGTAGAAAAGGGATTTTTCCCGGGCCGAGGGGAAAGCAGTGGGATCCCACACGAGCCCTGGGGTTGGCGTCCTCACCCTCCAGCAAAACGACTCAGAAAGGGGCTGAACTGCCCGACATTTCCCCACCGGTGGCTTGGCAGCAGCCGCCTGACACTCCCGTGTCTTCCCCGTCAGGACGCGGCTGGCTCCCGTCCAGGTGGGACCCTGCCAGCGCTGATGGATGCCCGAGGTGAGCCCTGGGAACGCCGTAACCCCTACCTGCAGTGGCCTCCCTGCTGCGGCCACCGGGCCCTGCCAGAGCAGGTTGTCTTATCTCTTATTTTCCAGCAGAAATGGCCTTGGAATTCCCTGCCTGTCGCTTGTGGTTTAGGGCTGGCTGCAGGTGCTGGCACTCACACACTGCTCGCTTTGGGAGTGGGGAGGGATGGGGGAAGAGTTGAGGTCAGAGCTGCCACTGGATTTCCTTTGGTGGGGGGATGTCCCTGGGGAGAGGACAGAGCGATAGATCAGCGTTGGGATGAGGGAAAGAAGCTGTGGGTGACAGCTCAGCTTGGCACAGTTCAATCCTGGCTCTGAAATGTGTGTTCCCTTCCCAGGTGCTGCTGTGCCACCCTGCTCCTGGCTAACCAGCACCAGTTCTTCAGTGGCAAGCTTTATGTCCTTCTCCAGTAGCTAAAGCTGCCAGTTGAAGAACTGTTGAATGTAGCCACTCTCTTCTCATCACTGGGACACTGGATGCCAGCCAGAGCCCTGAGCGACCAGGATGAGCCACTCTGCAGTGTCCTGTGGTTGGAAGGCTGAGGATGAGTTCAACCAGGATGAAGAAAGTCTCCTCGAAGCTTCCAGACAGAGCCTTGGCTGGAGGATTGCCAAGCAGCCGTACCAGCAGGGCTGTCAAACTGTGTCCCTCCCTCAGTGGGGTGGCACTGAGCTGGGAGGTGACTAAAGGAGACTGAGAGAAGCATTAAACGTTGTTTTGCTCAACTGTTCGGTTTTAGGAAGTTTTTTGCCTGTGGGTTGCCTAGATCAGGTGGGAAAACGGTGGGGACTGCGGACCCTAAGGGGGCCACAGCACCAGAGCTGTGCCCCCATCTGAAGCCACTCTGGGGTCTGATCCTTCAGGTGCCTTGGGTTTGTCCTGAGCCAAAGGCTGGGTGTAGCCCACAGGTCTGACCTGCTGCTGTGCTCAGGAGCTGGATTAATCCTGCAACATGCCAGGCAGTGGGATGGAGCCTGGGGAGAGGGCTGGCTCCACACCCACGCTGCCCTGCCGCGGGTCGGGCCGGGTGCAGTGGGGCCGGGCTGCTGGGCCAGCGTGAGTGACTCAGGGCCGAGTCACGCACAGCTCTGGACGGCTGTTCCCGGAACCTCTGTCCCTGGGAGGCCACAGAGCCCTGACTGCACAGCAGTGCCAGGATTCCAGGTATTTTGGAGCTAGCAGCACTCAGAGGGGCCCATGGTGAACTTTACTGGGCTCTTCCGCTGTCCAGGCTCTGGCTTCTTGGTGAACAGAAGCAGAAGGCTGCCCTGGAAGGAGCTTGGAAGCTGCTCTTTGGGGCTGGAGAAGCCCCTGCCTTGCACTGAGTGAGAGGGGAGCTCCATGGGCCCAGTAAGGGCTCCAGGGAGCCTCTGCCCCCCAGCCTTTCCCACAGGACTGCTGGGACCACCAGCTCCCAAGCTGCCCTGGTGAATGGGACTCAGGGGAGTGTCCAGGCATTGCTGCTCAGGGCCTGCCAGAAAGAGCACAGCTCATCCCAGCTCCGAGGGCGGGCAGGGAGGAACAGCCCTGTGCTGAAGTGTCTGCACAATCTCAACTTAATCTGCCTGCCCAGGCTCCAGCTGCCCAAGGCAGGGCTGCTCCCAAACTTTGGCACCCAGCAAAGCACAGAAAGTGGCCTGGTGTCTATTAAGTGGCAGAAGTAGAATAAGTCTCTTGTCCTGAGGTCTTTCCTTCTTACATAAAGCTGCTGTGCTTGGTGTGTTCTTGCTGATGGTTACAAGAAGCTGAGATTCTTTGGGGTAGTCGGTGTCCAGAGGGACTGGGACTGCTGAACACCCTTGGATCAGTTCCTCCACCTTGAGGCAGAGCCTGTCTCTTCCACCACAGCTGCCCTGCTGCAAGTCCATGCAAAACAGCTGGCACTTGCTCAGTGCCCAACATATCCTGGAGTGCAATGAGGGGCAGAAAGTCATGGTGTGTGTGGGGAGGAGGATGCCTGAGGGCAGGGAGGAGTAGCTCCTGGGCCATGCTCCCCCTCTTCTGCAGATTGATTTGATGAGAGCTGTGTGCTCCATGTGTCTCACAAATCTACACATTTCCTGTCATGAAGGAACAACCTGTGCTGCTGAAACCCAGCTCTTTCCTGGGTAAAATATGGTTCTTTCAGAGCAAAGAGTTGTCTCGAGCAGAAGCACCAAACCCGTGGGGTCAGGAAATGCAAAACGTTGGATTTCAGGTCAAATTCACGTGTGAGGTGCCAGAGGACAAGTTTGGGTGTTTAACACAAAACCAGCACTGCAGTATCTCTCCTGCTGAGCAAAGGGCTCCGGCTCTGGCTCTCCTGCACTTCATGTCAAACCAGAGGGGGTTTGGGCTGTCAGTGGGGTGTCCCTGTGGGAACTTGCCTGGCTCCTGGGACTTATCCTTCCTCCTGCACAGCCCCATGTGACTGGTGAGTAAGTGCAAGGTTTCCTGTAGAAAGCACAGCCTAGCTTGCTGTTGCCTTGCAAAAATCCAGTAACTCTTTCCTTTAGTATCTGGCCACCTCCTCCAAGCATCCAGCATGCAGGGACACAGCAGGCAAGGCTGGAGCTGGGATTTCTCTGCCAGAGGCTGGCTGTTTGCTGCTGCAGATAATGTAATATTCAAGACAGCAGTGACACTGCCAGCAGGTGCTGCTGGCTCAGAGGTCAGGTGGCATCCCTCTGTCCTTAGGGGCAGGGTATTCTGTGCAAGTTCCTGCACACAGCCCACCTCGTTCCCTGCTGGGAGAGCAACTTGTCTCGGTCACAGCTCCCCTTGCTGGGAAAATGTGTTTTTGCAAAGGAGAAGGTCAGCGTGACCGGTGTGCTAAATGAGAGCTCCCTGCCAACAGGGAAGGAACAGGAGGAGCTGGTGTATCTCTGGCTGGTGCATCTGTGCATGTGTGGTGGCTGCTGCCAGCTCAGACCCTCAGCTAAACCCTAGGCCATGGGCATCCTCCTCTCATCCAGAGCAGCAGAATACCACCTCTTCTGAGCTTTGCCCAGCACAAATTGTCTGCAAACGCAAAATGCAGGTGCTGGGTTCAGCTTTGCTGATGGTTTTATTGCTCCAGGGTGGGAGGATGTGGAGCTGTTAACACTTGGTTGTGAACCCCTCACAAGGGGCACACATCAAGCTTAGCTTTGTGCCAGTGAGGGGATGTTGCCAATGTCACAGGCCCTGAAAACAAGAGATAGGATGGGGATTTGCAGTGAATTCTCTTGGTTTTGTGTCTCTCAGTGGGCTCTGCTGACATGGGGAACAGCACAGAGCCACCCACCAGCTCAGTCAGGATGTAACTTACTCTGCTTCTTCTTTGGAGATTTGTTTCCCCAAGTAAAAAACTTCTGCAATCAGAGACACCATGGGGTCACAGTTCAGGCTGGCAGCTGCAGTCACATGGCCATCCCTGGAACAGAAAGAGGAAGAATGTGGATCTTCTCAGTGTACATAGCTCAGCACAGCAGCATCCCTGTGGCACAGTGGCCAGGGAGCAGCTGTAATTCAGAGGGCTCAGGGCAGGGTGGCTGGTGCTGCAGGATGCACAGGGATTTGTGGCAGATTGCCTGGCACTGCTGGGAGCTGGGCACTGAGCCTGGGAGCAGTGGGGCAGAGGGAGAGATGTGTCCCAGGCTCTCTGCCCAGCGGGTGTCATCATCTGGGTTCATTCTCTTCTCTTCTCCTCCTTCCCTGCCCTGCTTTGGTTTTCTCTGGTTCAGCACCCAGCAGCTGCCTTTAGCACACAGCCAGGAGATGTGGAGCCTCTGTGGGATCTCTGCAAGCTGTAAGAGAGAGGACTGTGGCCTGTTTCCAGGGCATGGACTGGCCATGGACTGTGGCCATTTACTCACCTGATGTAAAAGATCAGGAATTTCTGTTGCTCCAGGCTGCCCTTCACAACAGTGTCCATGTATCCCTTCCCACAGCCTGTGAGAGAGAGCCTGCTCAGGGAGCCCTGGCACAGCAGTTGCCACCCATCCCACCTCAGAGCCAGTGTGGGTAGGGACAGAGGGGACAGTGACTGGGGCTGGAACATGGCTGGGGAGCAGACATGAAGGCCCTGGACAAGCAGAACTGACTTTGAGCCTCTCCTCGGTTTGGAGAGGGAAGTTCTTCCTCTGTGACCTCTAACCCACTGGAGATCAGCAAAGAACAAGAGTTCTGGGTGACCTCCAGGTCCAGGGCTCAAACTCACCATGGCAGCCAGTCCAGAGCTTGAGCTGCTTCAGGTGAACTCTGCAACCACAGTGTGCTTACAAGCCCCAGACCCAGTTGGTGGGAAGAAGTTCTTCTGTTCCCCTGTCTCTGCCCCTTCCTACCTGCATAGCGGATGCTTTTCCCAAGCAACGTGGTCCAAAAGTAAGGAACAGTGTGCAACTCCTTCCCTCTCTTCAGCATGTTTAAAGCAGCACAGTGGCCTGGGATGAACCGACACACAGAATATTTTTCTTGCAGGCCATTAAAAATTATTCCCCATGTCTCCTGCTGTCCCTTCTGTCCCATTCCCATGTCTAAGGGAGCTGGAAGGTGACGTGGCTGTGCCCTCACCATGAGCCTCAGCCACTTGTTGGTGGTGGATGCTGGACCTGGCCCCATCGAGCAGCGCTACCGGGAAGGTGACCACGTCCCCCGCAGCAAACACATTCGGGATGTTGGTTTGCATGTGCTAATGGGATAAAAGGCAATTAGTGCAGTGATGAGAGGGAAGGGATGGGGGGTGAGCTGTGATACTCAGCTGGCACTCACCAGATTCACCAGGATGGCACCTTTGTCATCTCTGACAATGGAGGTGCCCTTCAGAAATGCTGAGTTGGGGGTTGACCCTGTGGGAGAGGAGCAGGGACAAAATGCAGCAAAGCTCTGCAAGGACAGGGAGGAAATTTGGCCTCATAGCTGCTGTTCCTGTTTGGAGCAGTGACCTGTGCTTGGGCTGGTGCTGAGCCAGTGCAGGGGCAATAAAACCAGGGCCCAGGACACAGCACACCTTGGTGATGCAGCAGCACCCTGTGGAGCTCAGCAAGAGCCAAAGGCACAGGGAGAGTGTAACCAGCTCCTTTCCTCCTGCCAAGTGTGTGCTCATGGTGACTTTTCCAGGTGTTTGGGGCCAAGAGGAAGGGCTGGATGATAACAGTGTGGGAAAGAGACTGCAGGGAATAGTGTCCTGGAAATGAACTGTGATGCCCTGAGCTTGCTGGATGTTCTCCCCATTCTCAGAGCTGCCCCTCTCTCCCAGCTGGGGTCTCTTACCTATTCCCACCACTACCACATCTGCAGGGAGATTCTCTCCATTGGCAAGAACAGCCTCTGTGACCTGGAAAGAAGGAAGGATCATCAATAAAGAGTTAAAACCTCTGTCCTAATTCCCATAGCCTCCCTGCTGCTTTGCTCTTTGCTGTCTTTTTTCTCCCCCAGGTTTGGATCACCTTGTCCAACTAATGTGTGTTGCTGGGAATGTAAAAGAAAATCATGCAGTTGTCCCTGGGACAGGAACATTTACTGGTGTCCTTTGAGCCCAGAGCTGTGCTCAGTTAAAAGGAAGGGAGGGTCTAGACATGGGAGAGGAAAGCCTTTTGTAGGCACTGGGTTATACTTCAACTTGGGCTTTTTTCCCCTAAAATTAATAGTTCAGGGATCACAAAGGCATGACTGACCTTTCCATCCTTTCCTTTCAGCTCACAGAGTTCTGTTTTCATGTGGAACTTCACCCCTTTATTTTGCAGCATCTGAAAAGGACTGGTTT